CAAATAAAAATCCCTTTTATCGTTTTCGTACTTTATACTGTGCCGGATTTAGTACTTTCTTTGTCTAATTCGTATTTAGACAAGAAAACAAAATTGTGGAAGCTCATTAGTCTCGTTTTATTTTTCATGTCAAAAGTAGGGCTGTACCAAAGTCGATTCACAAAGCGATTCTGATATTTATATGTCTCCTTTTTTATTCGATGTGTTAAAAAAACAAAAAAAAAAGATTTGTTTGGAACATGAAAATTTGGCAAACAGTGATTTTTGATTGGTGCAAAATTATGGCGCAGAATTTAAATAATCTGCTTTTTTTTCTTTTAATTTCTGCCTTCAAGATTAAAAAAAAAAATTACCAACCATACTGTTATGTAGTATATAAAAAACACTTTCGTTACAGATAAATTAAATACCTAATTTCGATTGAGTGCAAGAAGTCCATTATAAGTTGGTCTTCCTGGACGTCGTCTCTCTTTTCAGGAATATACCCATCGACCTCACAAGGGATATTATCATAAAGAGGTGGCCACATATAAGGCCCTAGACGACACTTTCAAAGGAGGGTTTTGTTGAAGTTTTTGACTTCTACCTACAAACTTTCGGGCTAGGCATGGGTAACTGTATGTCACCGATATGCGCTGATATAGTTATGTCCGTACTACAGAACATCTGCATTGGTAGACTCCCCTGCTTTCAACTTCCTTTTTTTAAAAGGTATGTTGATGATATTATTACAGCAATTCCCGGAACAAAAAAATGATTACGTATTAGGGGTTTTCAATTTCTTCCACACAAGACTCCAGTTCACTATAGAAGTCTAGGACAACAATTCTATCCCCCTTTTGGACACTGTTATCGTCAGATATCGGAACGTGTTGTTCGTGAACTGGTATCACAAGCCAACCTTTTCCGAGAGATTCATAAACTTCCATTCGCAACATGATATAAGTGAAATGACAAACATTAAAAAACATAGTACCATTAATTTCAGCCGTGACACAGAAAATCTGTCTTCCTCATATTCCAACCTGATAACAAAATTAATAAAATAGGTCTGGTACCCTTAAACCTTCATTATAATCCTTTTTTTCATGAACTGATGCATACCATCTCCATTGTGCTCCTTTTATTGTTGTTTGTCAAGCCTTGATGTATCGTTCTTTATAAATTTTAAACATTAACAGCTGTATGCGGCATCCTATTTCTATTTCAACTAGAAAGCGCTTTTTAAAACTGGTCACTTTTAAAAATGTGTTCCAGTTCTAAAAAGCGGTTTTAAGTTAAAAGAGGATGTTGCATACAGCTGTAAATAATTTTTAGATCATTTTTAATGTTTAACTGTAATTTGTACACATTTTGCTTTTGTGTTGTCAAATAATGTTCTCCCTCTCTATGTACAGAATCTTGTAATGTGCCTTGAATATATGCATACACTACACCTTTAATTTTTTTATACAGGGTGTTTCAGAAATGGTGTTACAAACTTCAAGGGCAAATAGTATTCATGAAAATAATTTAAAAAGTTCCTATGGATATAGGTCCGGAAACGCTTTGTTTCCAAGATACAGGGTGATACGTTTTTCAGAAAAAAATAGTTTTTTATTAATAGCCCAAAAGAGCTTTAGCCGATTTCAATGAAATTTTCACGGTTTATTTCAACCATTATTAGACATCTACTGGACCAAGCAGATTTGATCCAGAATTCCCAGGGGCGTACCCACCGACCAAGTCGGTTGTTTTTGTGCAGAAAAAAGAAAAAAATATCACTCTGTAGTTTTTGTACGATTTTTATTGATTATTCAGATAGACACACTAAAAATACAACATTTTTGTCTCTTAAATTTTTCAATTATCTCGCTCCGTTTTCGCGGAAAAATTACAATACCATACCTCGGCACGTCTTTGAACAGATAACATTATTATTAATTTATTGGAAATAAAATAAATCTAACTTAACCATAACAGTAAGCTTAACAGCATAAATATGTTTTCGCAGTAACTTTTCTCTCGGGTTTGGTCCAACAAAAATATTGGTTGCTAGTTGTGAAAACTGGCTTCACATCTACATTTAAACTATACCTACCCCAAATATATTTGGTAGTTGAGCTTGAATTATTATTCCCTGAAGAATTTCTGGTTTGTTTTTCTCGAAATAGCCGTAACATTTTATTATTTCCCTTATTTTTTCTTGTGAAATTATTTTGGGCATCTTGAATATGAAATAAATTTGTCAATGCTGAACATAGAATAATGCCGAATTTTGAAAAATGTTATCAGATTTTGCAGGTATGTAAAATAGTTAGGTACCGTTTATATTTTTACCTACGAGCGTGCGGTAAAGTGCACTTTACCGCACGTTTTTGAAAATGGAAAGTATCACTTTACCGCACACTATGCGGTAAAGTTAACTTTACAGCATAGTGTGCGGTAAAGTTAACTTTACAGCATAGTATGCGGTAAAGTGCACTTTACCGATCACTTTGTAGTCCACTTTACCGCATAGTGTGCGGTAAAGTAGAATTTGATATTTATAATCAAAATTACTTTCTTTCTCAGAAAAAGGATTTTTGATCCTTTCTAAATTTAATCTTATTCCATTAATTAATCTGATTCGTTAATTAATTTTATCAATTTTTTTTTTGGAGGTGTAGATGCTCATAGGTAAAATTTTGTACCTAACACATGCGGAAAGTGCCTTTACCGCCCTTAACGGCTTGACCGAACTCCGCTTCGCGTCATTCGGTCAACTGCCGTTGCGTGCGGTAAAGTATCACTTTCCGCATTTGTTAGGTAAATAACTAATATTTTTCAATGGTGCAATATATCAGGTCTTCAAAAAAAAAAAAAAACAATTAAAGAGTGCTTGGATTACGGAAACGTACGTCGAATTATTGTTTCCTTATTGGTCAGGATTGTTGACATGACATTTTGACATTAAAGTTCATTGACATATTAAAGGAAAATATTGCTAAGACATACGTTTAAAAACCCATAGCAATCTTTGATTGGTTTTGTTTTGAAGACCCGATATATTGCACCATTGAAATAGCTATTTTCCTAACGAGAAGAAATTTCCGTGTTCCGCACCCTCGTGCCGGAAATTTCTCTTCCCGCAAGAGTTAGGAACTATATTTTTTCTACGAGCATACTAAAGCTGATGTTACGAAGAGTTTAATTTAAATAAAATGCGATTGTGCAGAAGGTAGAATTAAAAATGTATTGGAAGGTATTTATAAAAAAAAGGTAAAGGTATTTAAGGTAAAGGTATAGGTGTATCAACAATACAAACAATTCCATGTCACAATGATTATTTCAAACTCTTCCAGTGCGGGAATCTCTTCCCGCACTGGTGCGGGAAAAAAGTCTTCCCGCACAGCAAATCGTGCGGGAAGAGCCATTTCCCGCACGCTCGTAGAAAAAATACATTGAAAAATGTGTCGAATTTGATTGGCCACACAGGCCAGAGAATTTAAATACCGCGATACTTACGAAATTATGTAAAACACACTTAAAACTGCCTGGAATTTAACATATAATGTCATTATTATACGAAGGTCAACCTGCCAAATTTTCAAGGATGATGCTACGCCAATAAGAAAGGCATATACTCTGTTTTTGGTTTCAATAAGACCAAAGCCAGCTTGAGGATTGAGGATTGATGGAGGCACAGAATATGAAGGTTGAGAACTGATTCAAAGCTAAAGGGTGTTTTTTTTAGAGGTTTGTTTTTCTACCTAGTAACACTGTTCCTAGTGACAGTAAATTTGACAGGTGACAGCTTATTTCCGCTCATTATATCTTGCCATTTCATTATGAAAAGACTTACGCCAGAGCAACGCTTGCAAATTATACAAATTTACTTCGAAAATCGTGATTCAGTTCGCGAAACTTCCGCTATGTGCGCTACGTCCATTTTACGGTCGACATAAACGTTTATCCCAGCAAGTTATTCGGACAATCATGAATCGTTTTCGCACTACGCATACTCTGATTGATAATCCAGAAAACTCCTTGTTTGGTGTGCTTGTTGGGTTAGTGGAATCATTGGCCCATATTTCTTTAAAAATGATGCCAGTCAGAACGGGACAGTCAATGGAGAGCAGTATCGATTCTTGATTACTGTTTTTCTTGTTCCCCAGTTGAATGGCGTTAATGTCGAAGAGTTCTGATTCAAACAAGATGGCGCAACATGCCACACAGCGCGTGACACAATCAACTTATTTCAGGAAACATTCGATGACCGTATAATTTCGCGCAACTTGTGAATTGGCCTCCACGGTGGTATAATCTCACACCTATGGATTCAATTCTGTGAGGCTATGTGAAGTCGCTAGTTTACGGTAATAAACCAACAACGTTGAATCGGCTGGAAGCCAAAATTTGCGTTGTTATTGCCGATTACTGCTCCCAGATATTCGAAAAAGTGGTCCAAAATTGGACTCCCAGACTGAGCTTCGTTTGAGCCAGTCGCGGCGCTCATATACCCCAAATCATTTTTAAGCACTAATGGCATAAAATTACCTTTCTAATAAAGTCAATATCATGGCAGTTAACATGATTTTTATGAGTTTTATTCCAGTTCAAAGTTCTATAGCTCTAAAAAAAACACCCTTTACTTATTTTTTGATGTTTCGCTCATTTAATTTATTTGAGTAAATGTGGTCATTCAAAAAAAAATCAAAATATTAGGAAAAGCCTTTTCAACTGATTGGACAGAACAAATTCAAAAAAGCAGCGGTTTATCAATTTTTTTTTTGACATGATTCCCAATATTTGTAGTTTTTTTTTTCTCAATTAAACACAACACGTCTGTAAACTTATTCGTTTGGTGATAGTGATGTCTGTGTAGTGACATAATGCAATTCAAAAACAATGGTGAAACAATTATTGTTGTCCAAATTAGAAGAAATTTTCACGTGAATATGAGGCATAACCATAGCAACTCAATCCAAGAAAGACACATAGGGATAATTTTTTTCATACGAATAAAGATTGTGACTTACCACTGCTAGAATGTCTTTTAAACCTAAGCTTCAACTGACTAGGGTCGGTGACGTACTTCTCGCTCTGTCTGCGCCTGCGCAGGCCCGGCGTCAAGTCTCCCGACCAGGACATGCATTTGGCTAACCTCTGTCCCCCAGTCACCGACACTGGAATCTTGGATATTCTTCCTCCATCCATTGCAGGACTAGTCTAGGATGAAAAAAAAATGTTATTATTTTTCTAGGATCGTTTTCAGAATCAAAACAATAAGGTGTGGCTAATTACCGAAGATTCTCTTAAAATTTGGCTAGCATTGTCAACCCCACTATCCTCGTCGTCTAGCTCATGTCTTTTGTCTTTTATATTGGGATTTTCAGTAGCGTCGAAGTACTCGGATTGTTCCTCCATTCCCGGACTCAGGCCATTGACGATGGAACGTTTTTCTCTATAACAAATTCAGAATTTTTGTATTTTTCCATACTTGATTTGATTAAAAAAAAATTAGTCAATTATTTAACAAGAACAGGGAGAAAAACACTTTTTAGTATTTGTTAGCAAACATTGGTACTAACTGGGTTATGGGAGGTTCCACAAACCAACAACGCAGAGAAACTAGTCACATCCCTCTGTCAACAAACACAAAAAATTAAAAAATAACATTATAAAAAAAAGGACAAAACTACAAAAATTCATATTCCATTGTTTATTGTTTTTTCTAAATTTTGTTTGAACTTCAAGAGAAATGTTTCGTTCTTAATGCTTATACGAGGTATGTATAATATTGTCATAATGTCATATCAATAATTCTTGGACAAAAACAGCAATTTTGGTTTGATAAAACGATTGCTTACCTTAATTCTGGAATGCTTGAAGCTGTCACATAAGTCACATTAGGATTGGTACTTAAGTCTATGCCTGGCGAACACGTGACTACGCCATCTTCACCCGATTGCCTCGATCCTCCTTTATCTCTATCGACCACTCGGTGTCGTTTTTCTAACTCTGCTTTCTCTTTTGCACTTCCAGCGTCCTAAAGAAACAGATAAATTTAGCAAAAATAGTCACGGGCCAAAATTTATAGAGTATCTGATTGGTACTAACCCAAACCCAAAGAGTTCCTTACCGATTTCGGTCGATTGTTCCCAGAAGCACCCGAACTACTATCAGATCTGGAATCAGTTGCTAAATTATTCAACAAACCTGCCAAAGGTTTGTTAGTAGGAACGGATTTCAACGATTGGCTACGCATCAGCGTTTCTATTGGTTCAAAATTAAGCGTGGAAACATACGAGGATTTCCTACAATCGTCTTTGTTGTCAGTTTCCGTGCTACTGCTCTCGGTTTCTACTTTTTTCACATCGGTGCCAGTTTGTTTGTCCGTCATCACTGCAGTTTTTGTATTGGTTTTTATATTGCCGTCGATTTTGGAAGCTGAAGAGCCATTGGCCATGTCGCATTGCACTTCATGTTTGGTTTCATTCTCTCTTCTGTCAGTACTAGCGTTTACTAGACTCACTAGGGGAGGTGGAGATTTTACTTTAGCCCTTGGCGACTGACAAGCTTTATCTTTGTCTTTTTTATCCACTATCATACCATCGGCGAACATAACCATCTCTTTTCGCGGACTACCCATCTCACCAGCACTATTTCCTTCTTTACTGCTCTGCTTTAAAATACTCCGAGTACGTTCAACTGGTTTGCGTTCGTTGGAGCCAACTCGTTCCATTGGTGGATGCTGGACAGAACCGTTTACTTGAGTCGGAGCGGCCTTTGCTATTATTGGTGGAAGCGATTGCGGTCTGGTGCAAGTTTGCACTGTGTGATTAGTCGTCGATTGATACATAGTGGTTTCTGAAGACGGTTTTGGCACTACGCGGATTTCTAATTTGCCCGCCACTTCTTGCAAGCCTTCATTGTCGTCTACGTTTTCCTCATCTCTGAAACCCTGTTCATCGGCTATTTCTAAGGCTGGTAAGCTGGTCCACGCTCTATCGCCAAGGTCGCTCCGCTCTAGTTTTGCTTCCAAGTCGAGCCTAGTGGGTGGGGCTTTTAAATTTTCGTTTTCTTGTATTAGGTGTTTTGAGGCAACGTTACGCATTACGTCTACCCGGAAAACGAGATCGTCAAAGGCTGCTTGTTGGAGGAGAGGTGGTTTTAAGGTGCGTCGGACTAGAGGGCCGAGAGCAGGACAGGACCACGCCCTAGGAAGGATACCTGGAATAAAGAAAAATACATATGAAAACTTAATGTTAATAAAACTGTTCGTTTGATTGGCTGGTATGAATAAAAACGAAGTATCTGCTTCTACTTCAATTATTAGTATATTCTCCGTAGTATTTACGTTGAAAAGAAGTAGATACTACATTTCGAAACTACCAGAAATTAGTAAATTCTTCTTTTTAAAGTAAATACTGCGTAGAATATACCTACTAACACTTGTAGTAGTAGCAGGTTCGTTTCTAACCAGTTCAGGTCAATTGACAAAGGAGCAAAAGATAAAAGATTAACCCACATTGGCATAAGGTGACTATTGATTGAAAAACATTGCATTTCTATTTATTTTCTACATAAATTTACCTTTTGAAACGTGTTGTACTTATAGCTGGACTTACAGGCAACACCAAGCCACTTTCTTGAGAAGTAAAAATCAAACTAACTTTCCTGCATACATTTTCTTATTATTTCAAAATCTGGAATTTATGGCAAAAGAAAATAATCGATAGTTTATTCTTGATTGGAAAAATAAATTTTCGAGGAAAGAAATTAATGCATGCGTGAGAAAATGCAGCTGGCTAGCGCTGAATGTAGCTGTCAGCTCGATTTATTGAACGTATATACATTTGGATAGGCTAATGTTTCAATTTTTAATTAGGTTTTGGATCATAGATTAGATTTATTCATTTCTCGAACACTTTATCATTTTTTAATGATTATTTTGCCAAAAATGTAAATCCCAGAACTTCCAGCATTTAGTAGATACTGATGAGGATACAAATAAACATACTTAGTTGTTAGTTAAAAAAAAAAAAAAAACATTTTTGTGTTACAGAGTATTAAAGATGACTGAAGATGGTTTTATGTGATTACACAAAAACGTCTAAAGAAAAAACGAATACAATCACACGGAGTACCTATATGTTTTTTCCAATATTAATCCCAAAAATAAGCTCTAAAATATACACAAGCTTGATGAATCTACACTGGCACCTGTACAACAATTCTAGACGTTTTATTTATAATCAAATGCAAAAGCACTTTCAATTAGTGTATATTTTACGTAACTGGGCCAAGGTCATTGCAATTTGGCCTTGTCCCTCTAATAAAGGTCAAGGTCATTCGGAGCGCGTGGCTGATCTGACATTTGCCGAAGCACCGATAAGAGAGTTTTCAGCTGTCTAATAAACAATAAATTAACGAGAGAATTTGCCTTGTTACATTTTTGTGTTAGAGATAATGTACTCCTACACACATTTCTAGATTTTGAATTATTCTTTTTTATCTTTTCACAGATATGATGTTAACTATTCAAACCAAAAATATAACTGATATTCCAAAATAGAATCTTCAACATCTACATATGCAGGATAAACTTTCTCATCTAGGCACAACTTAATTCCATGAAAATTCCCACTTGTCCAAACAAGTGCTTAGAGGAGCTACTGCTACAAATATTTGCCACTAGAAAAAGCATGTGGCACATGTTTATAACAATAAGCGTCAAAGAAAAGAGAGAAACCTCTTATTTCTTTTTAGGTGGAAACACAAGTGGGACATTCTGATATTAGTATAACAAATAGTTGGGATAGAAATGATAAACAAAACATAATTCCAAAGGAAAAAATCACAAAGTTTATTAAAAATGAGGGAACTACAATAAACTTATATATATTCACAATACATTTGTAAGACTAGCAAAAGGCAAATCACAGAATGATAAATCTAGAATTTGCTTACAAGAAAGCCTAAATTATTTTAGAGAGAAAAGGAAAATCTTAATACTTGAACACACAATAATTCCAGCTTTAGATAATTATGTATCTAAATTCGACCAAGCCTATGGCTCAACTTCAGAGCCTTTTGGTGGGCCTTTTCTTGCTGTTGACAGGATCTGGGAACCACGTATCCTTGAATTTTGGAAAAAGTTAAAATAATATACAAAAAAAAATATAAAAAATACTAACGAACCATGAATAAAAACAAGTTGAAAAACGTCATGTCGTAGTTACATAAAATAGACACTTTTAAACAAAAATTTCGACATAGAACGAGGACAATTTTCAAATACAAAAACTGTCTTACTTTGCGACGTTAATTTCTAGTCTAATGGACAACTTTCTGGGTCACAAAATGGACACTTAACAAAAATTTTGACATAGAATGAGGACAATTTTCAAATACAAAAACTGTCTTACTTTGCGACGGTAATTTCTAGTCTAATGGACAACTTTCTGGGTCATCGGATACGTCAGATAAAATATCAGCTAGAGACGAAGGTAGCGTAGTGGTTCTGTAACTTTTGCAGCTGAACGGGTTCAAAAATGCTCGGAAAAATATTCGTTCACTTTTGCTTTCGTATATCGAATTTAAACCGGCGTTTTTCTTAAAAATGCCGCATAGGGTGACTCGTTTTTTAGGGCCTAGGATACAAAGAAAAATCTGAGGTGACCATATTATTTTGATTGGTAATTTTAAAAAATGAGAACATACTGCTGACAGAGCAACTTCAAAACTTAAATGGGTATGCTGAAAATTTACATTTTTTAAAGACTTAAATTCGACCCTCTACAATTTTATTTTAGAAATGTGTGCTCAAAAATTATCATTAGGGTATATACAGGGTGTTTCTGAATCACACCTGTATACCTTTTTAATTTTTTCACCTGAATTTCTGGTAGCTGCTTCCTGGGGTCCAATTCTTGGAAAATATCGCCTACGAAATTTGATTTGAATTTGACTAGCAATGTAAATTAAACGGGAAGCGTTTGAAATCATATAAAATTTCGTATGCGATATTTTTCAAGAATTGGGCCCCTGGTTATGCAATTTTTGACATAAGTTACTTTACTCCACCAAATGAACTCAACTTTTGAATTCCAATTCCAAACACCTTGTGACTATATTTGTTTTTAATTTTTTAAAAAGCACAAATTATATAAATCGTATTCAGTGCTGCAACTTACTTGGGTTACATAGAATAATTGCATTGATACTAAGTTTGAAACTATTGAGCCTGCAATGCTAATTGGTTAACTTCAGTATTATGGTATTAGGGAACAAGCTTTGAGAGCTATTTGAGGGACAGGAAAATAACAAGATTCAAAATAAGTACATCACTACAATCTACATGTTGAAAATAATTATGGAGTTCTGCAAGATCCTAGTGTGCTGGGATCTTTGTTGTTTATATATGAATAATGTGAACTATTTCGTAAAACCAAAAAGTTTGTTATTTTATTTATTTTTTTCTGTCAAGGTATTGCTGTTTTCATGCTATTTAAATGGAAACTAAAACTAATACTAGATCATAGTCAATAAACAAACCAGATAATAATTTTAAACGAACCATAAATTGATGTTTGTTTCAACAAGCCAAAAGACAAATAATAGAAAAACCTCGTCTAAATCCATCCCATATATCATATTTAGGTGCGATGGGTCCAAAAAAAAAACAAGTGTGCATAAGTTTCAAGTTGGGTTGTTAATTGCAGTTAATAAAAACCTGAAGTGTCAACTACTGCAATCCAACATAGATTCTTTAGAGCAGCTCTTTATAATGGCGAAGTTAGAAAAAAAGCATATTTTGTTTGGAAATGTTTATATTCCATATGAAAGGTATTGTTCTTCTGAGTTGAATATTTTTGAAAGGCATATTGCACCGACAATCTTGATATTTTTCTGTGTGGTGATTTTAACAGACCAAAGGTATCATGGATAGATGATGATGAGTGTGGGAGCAGACCCATGCGGGTTGAACTCTGATAAAACCAGGTGTTTAGCAGATTGTATGGCCTTTCTTAATTTGTCAAAACTTAATAGGATTTCAAATCGATACGGTAACTTTTTAGACTTGAAATTTAGCAATGTTACAAACATTATTAATATATGTCCAAGCCCAATGTAAAAATTGGACAAACTGCATCGAGAGCGTTTGAATTTGAGGTGGAGATAAATTGCTCTCTGGAAAAATTATCATTTGATTATTATTATCATAATTTTAAATTATGCAATCATAGAGAACTTGAGCTGGTATTATCAATGGTTGATTGGGGTAGTGTTCTTTCAATTGATGACTTAATTAATTAAGAAATTAAGGCAATCATTTTATAATATACTTAATAATGCTATTAAATTAACAACTCCTGTAAACCGAGATAAAAATCCCATTTTTCCAAAGTGGATGGATGATACTTTGTAGGAACTAATCTTAAACAAAAAAGCTGCACACAAAAACTTCAAGCAAACTTTCTTGGAGGATTACCATAGATTCTCACAGCTACGTGTGCAGTGCAAACAATATGCCCCCATCAGCTATCAAAACTACTTGGATTGCATAGAGGATAGGGTTCAAGATAAAAATGGGTTTTGGAGTTACATAAGATCTAAAAAAGATTCCAAAGGTTTTCCCAGCTGAATGACTTTGAAAGATAAGAAAGCAGATTCACCTGCGAAAATTGTAGAGCTTCTTAAGCATCATTTTAGCTCTGTATATAAGGTATATGATTCAAACAATTTCAGTATCTGTTGTGATATTAGTGTTAATGTGGTTTTTTTGCCCATTAATTTCATGGACATACATAATAAGTTAACCAGCTGAAGGATAACTTAAGGACAGGACCAGATGGTATCCCTGTTTCTACCATTAAAAAGCATATATAATTGTTCTATTACATCCTGTGTGAAGTCCAATTTCAAAAATTTCTATATTCTCTAAGATATTTGAGTCAATAGTTACAGATAAATTAACACCTCTATTCAAGAATATAATTATACCAAAACAACATGGGTTCGTGAAAGGTAAATTCACAGTCACCAACTTGTTGGAATTTGAGCAAGCTCTGTTTGATGCATTGCAGCATTGGAGGAAAGGTATCAGGTGGATGCAATATATACCGACTTCTCCAAGTCGTTTGACACGGTCGACCATAAAATTCTGGAAAAAAGCTGGAAAGTATGGGGTTTCATGGATCACTTTTGAGGTGGATGATTGACCATCTTCCAGGAAAAAAACAGAGAGTGAAGATAAAAAACTCAGTCTCATCAGAGATTAACATCAAATGGTGTTCTGCAGGGAGAGCATCTGTCCCCTCTCCTTTTCAATATTTTCTTGAACGATGTTAAGAATGTTTTTAAACACTGTAAATTTCTCAGTTATGCTGATGACATGCAAGTATTTGTCACTATAAAAAATATCTATGACTGTGAAACCTTGCAAGGGGAACCCAACAATAGGGAACTTTACAATTTTTTTTTTTTTTTTTTAAATCATTTATTTATGCCTTAAAAGAGTATTCCCCAAATATTATTTCCTAAAACTCAATAATAACTTGGTGAAAAATGTTTCAAGTTTCGCGCGAATTAAAAGCAGTTCAAACGACCTTAAATCTGGATGACGTCACGTAGTATGAATTTGCGTTAAGCCGGCGCCACACGATGTGTCCAACCATTGGCCCCAACGTTAGATCCAACGTTGGGTACAGTGTTTTTTGCTCTAGTATTCGGCAAATGCACATAAGGTTCGTTTCACCAGGGTTCATACTTGACCTTGAAACTTGAAAAAAAAGGGTTGTCGTAGATTAATTCATATGACACATACAATGTTTTTGACAATGAATGACGTCTGGTTAAGAACCGACGAACGTTTTTGACGTCATTGATTTGTTTCAGTCAATTTTTATTTGTTAAAAAAGGAAGCCAATTCCTTGTGGCAAGTACAAACCCTGGCGAAACAAACTTTACCTACTTACTTTTGTTACTATAAACATATCACAAATTATAGATTGGCGGATTGCCCTTTGGAATTTCCTTCTTCAGTCATAATTAATAGGTATATCGTTTTATTTATATAACGCTAGGCTAATCATTGAATTTAAGCGAAGTAAACCAATTCTAATATTGATAAAATTTTAAAAAATCAGAGAAAAACGTAAATAAACACAGCTAACGGGTATTTATTATGTAGAGTTCGAGTAAACGCTCGGAGTTGCTGTTTTGTTCTTTTATCCCTGTTCTTCTCATCATAAGAAAAAAAGACGGAAAATGCTCCGAGTGCTCAGTGTTTCAAGACGAACTCACGGTATGATGGACGGTTGCTGACAGACACTGACAAATCATACTACATGACGTCACGACCAGTACCAAAGCGTTTTTTCCCGCTGGAAATAATTTGAATTTTTCTGCATTTTCAATTCCTTATTGTGGCCGTTTGCGACAAAAAAAAAATTGCTTTTTTCGCTGATATAGGTTTTAATTAATGTATTCTTATGATTTATAGTAATATTTTCATGTTTAAATTTTTTGTCAAGTTCCCTATTTCTTCAGCTGGTGTGAAGACAATCATTTGGCACTAAACGTGAATCGAACTTGATAGGGTTTATGTTATTAGAGATCATGGCGTATTTCTAGATGTCAAATTGTAGTTTTCTGAACATATTGAAAGAATATCCAATAAAGGAGCATTTACATTCACTTCTAACTTCAAGTTAAATTTGACGTTTGATATTTTATCATTTACATTGCAAAACATAAACGTCAAGTCAAAAAGTCAGAATTTTATGAGAATCGGATGAATAATCTAAAAATTTGACATTTCAAAAATTTCTACTTGCCCTCGGCAAGCAGCTCGCCCAAATTTAAAGTGCACTTTGAAGTGAACTTCAAATTTATTTCAATGTAAATGGATCTGTGCTGTCGCCATATGGCAAGCACGTCAATTTCAAGACAAATTGGACTTTGAAGTGAATGTAAATGAACCATAAAACTAAAATCTGTTTTTTTTTTAACGATAAAAGTCAGAATGACATTATGTTGGCAATACAATGTAAAATTGTCAATCTTTCAAATTTTTAATGAAGAAAAGGCTTGTGTTGCCAACATAGTTACTAAATTTTTGACTTGGGGAATTATCTTAAAAAAAAAACAGACTTTATGCGATTATTGGTGTTTTTAACGCGTAATTTGAGAGATTTTACTAGCATTCACACCTTGAGGAATGCTTATTCAGCTATAGTTCGCCAAATTCTAGAATATACCAGTCGTTCGGTCTCCCTTTTATGGTAAACATAACTACCAACTGGAGAGGGTACAACGAAGATTCTTAAAACATATTACATACAAACTTAATATTAGTCGACTCTATTAATTATGATGATATCTTAAAACTTTTAAACATGCAGACTCTAACTCAAAGGAGAGATTATCAGGACCTGTGTATTCTGTTCATAATGGTGAATAATATAATCCAGTCACCTCAGTTCTAGTTCTTATCTTTGATTGGTTTTAATATACCACATAACATAAGAAACAATAGACTATTTTATGTACAATATCATTGTACTAATTATGGGTACAATTCTCCTATAACTAGATTTTCAAGACTGGCAAATGCTGTGATAAATAAATTGAATGTGGATCATTTCAATATTGGACTGGAAGGTTTCAGAAGACCAATCAAGTCAATCTAACGATTGTTTCTGTTAGTGGTTTTATCCTTGTTTGTAAAAATCAATCACTATATGTTATGTCACTTTTATTCCGAGAACTTCACATGTTGACACTTATGAAAGCTTTCGTTTCTCTTTGATCCATCTTATTGAGAATAACAATTTCACTGACATTTTCGTTTGGGATGACTTTTTTCTTCCCAATATAAAACTGCGGAGGGTTATGTACCTGTGGGTCAACTTTCTAGAGAAGCAACATCCATAGCTGATTGTGCTGCATATTTATGTTTGTTCCAAATGATAGACGTTCCTAATATACAATGTGATTTTTTAACTGTGCAACATATGGGAACTTTTTTAAGTAATAGCACAACCCAAATACAAACAAGGCCAAAAGTTGGTGCATGTATAATCATATTAGGTGCACTTAGAATGGTTGCAAGTCAAACAGCATACAGGGTAGCTCAAACAATATCAAAATTGTACTGTAAAGTACCCTTATTTTAGAAAATTCAGCAAAATGTTATAGAGAAAAGTTGTTTGGAATTAAAAGTTATGTCTAAATACCAAAACATAGCCTCCTAAAAAAAAAATTATTTTTTTGCGAAAAAAATCTATAATTTCTATATTTTTTTTATTTTTTATTTCCGCCCTTAATACTTTCAAAAATTAATTAAAATCAAATCAATTTTACATAACTTTGTTCAAATTCAAGCATATTTGTAAAATTAACTTGGATTTTTAATCACAAAGTTCATGTTTGCTGCAATGATATTCAACACAAGTTTTAAATTTTTTTTTTTAACAAGTTAAAACATTGATAATAATATGCATATGAAGTGCAAAAGTTTTATTTTATTTAAGTAAATATTACTACAATATTGATATTTTTTGAGCTACCCTGTATGCTGTTTGACTTGCAACCACTCTAAGTGCACCTAATATGATTATCAGACATGCACCAACTTTTGGCCTTGTTTGTATTTGGGTTGTGCTATTACTAAAAAAAATTCCCATATGTTGCACACTTAAAAAATCACATTGTATATGGGAATTATCTTGATCTTTTATTCTGTGATAGGTGTGATGTAAAGGTTGCCTTATGCAATAATCTCATGTTAAAGTTAGATCTGCCACACCCTGCTTTTGAATGTTATTTCGTCTTGTCTGAAAAGCTGTCAAATCTCTCTAGTCAACCATCCAAGGACCTTTTTTTTCAGTTATACATGTAAACCCCATACTTTGTGAGTGGCTTGCTTACATCAAGTCCTACAACTTTTCCTCTACGACTCTTCTCGGAAATGGCACGTATGCGCGCAGGCGACTCGCAAACATGTCGATCTGACGTAGCTATGTTTCCTGATACATGTAGGTAAATCTAATTTTACGAATACTGTTTGATTTTTATGTCTAAATCACGGAAATCAACTTGGCCGACAAAAATAATGGCAAATTGGGGGAGTCCGATACCCCCAAAATGTCGATCTGACGTGGTTATGTTTCTTGATACATGAAAATCTAATTTCACGAATAATGTTTGATTTTTATTTCTAAATCACGGAAATCAACTTGGCCGACAAAAATAATGGCAAATTGGGGGAGTCCGATACCCCTAAAATGTTTGCGAGTCGCCTGCGCGCATACGTGCCATTTCCGAGAAAAGTCGTAGAGGAAAAGTTGTAGGACTTGATGTAAGCAAGCCACTCACAAAGTATGGGGTTTACATGTATAACTGAAAAAAAAAGGTCCTTGGATGGTTGACTCTTGTGAGTACTTGTATTTTAATTTTTAAGTATTCTGATTTTGACGAAATTAATTTGTATCTTTCCTATGCCAGTTGAGATGATATTTTTGAGTCTACAGATGTAAATACTGTGGTTTCACGTTTTATGAGATCACATATGGTGCTGCTGTTGAGGCTTTTACTCCATTATCAAGATTCAAAACTCCTAAATTTCCAAAATGGATGCCAAACAATCTGAAAAACTTGATTGTTCAGTAAAAAATTGCACACAAAAAATATAAATCGACACAATCTCAAGACGACTATGATTATTTTGCTGGTCTTGGTCTAAGAGCTGAGTTTTATCTCTCGATCTTCGCATAAAAACTATATTAAAGATCTGGAGAATCAATTACATGATAGACGTACCTTTTGGAATTATGTCAATTCCAAGAAGGATAGTGCAGAATTTCCTGAATGTATGTCCTTTAATGGCTATGAATCTGATAGTGGTCAAGAGATAACTGAAATGTTTAAATTGCACTTTTCGAGGTATGGGTCCTGATGGGATTCCTGTATCTCTGCTGCAAAATTGCAAATATGTTTTATCCAAAGTTTTATGTAAAATATTTAATCGCTCTTTGAGTTCAGGTGTTTTTCCAGAATCTTATATTTCTCCTGTTTTTAAGATTGGTAACAGAGCTGATGTTGAAAATTACAGGGCTATAAGTAAAATTTCATTGATTGCAAAGATTTTCGAATCACTAGAAGCTGACAGATTGACTCCTCTTTTTAAAAATATTATAATTGATGAACAGCATTTATGAAGGGAGGATCCACTTTATCTAATCTTTTGAGATATGAGCAAGCTCTGTTGGGTGCCTTTGAGAATAAATATCAGGTTGATGCTATCTATACAGACTTCTCAAAGGCACTCAACAGAGAGGATCGCAAAATTTTGTTATCAAAATTGAAAGCAGTGTGAGTTCATGGCTCTTTTCTGGATTGGTTTGGAAGAGGTTTGGAAGTAACTTAACAGATCGCAGGCAAGCTGTTAGAATAAAAAAATATACATCATCAGAAACAATGTAACATCGAGAGTACCTCAAGGGGAGCATCTGTCGACTATTCTGTTTTAATATTTTTCTAAATGATACAAAAATGATTTTTGAAGTCTGCCAGTTTAAGGAATTTGCTGATGATTTTGATTTTTTTTAAATATAACTAATCCCACCTATTGTCAATCTTTGCAGGATCAGCTAAATTTGTTCTATTCTTGGTGCACTGAAAATAATTTAACATTGAATATCAAGAAATGTAGTGTCATCACATTTGGCAGAATAAAGCAGCCAATTATTTTTAACTATTCTGTTGGCTCTATGGAGTTGGAAAGACAAACCTTGGTGAAAGATCTTGGGGCATAGATAGAGAGTGATCTATCTTTTACCACACATATTAAAAAAATTACTAATAAAGCAATGCGATTGCTGCAGTTTGTCTTTCGGACTCTGAGAGAGATACAGAGTATTTTTGTCTTGAGGGATGTTTTTTGTGCATTGGTTCGTTCAGTGCTAGAGTATGCCAGTTTAGTTTGGCAACCCTTTTATTGGGTTTATAAGGAAAGCTTGGAGAGAGTGCAACGAAAATTTTTGAGAAGGGTGGGACTTAGGATGGGCATCCCTTATGAGGAAATTAATTGTAGTGAACTTATGAAATTATTGAATCTTACTCCTCTGGAAAATAGAAGATTTTTTGATGTTTGTACTCTCTTCAAGAATCTTAATAATATAATTGACACTCCGGAACTTCTTGCGGAGGTTGGCTTTCACATTCCTGCTAGAATTTCGAGAAATAAAAATCTATTTAGCATATCATTTCATCGAACTAATTATGGCATTAACCGCCGATAAGTCGAATGTGTGAAATTGCTAATTTTGTAATGAAAGAAAATAATAGCATTGATTTTTTTAATTGTAGTTAAGATGTTTTCTGTAAGCAGGTTAAGGAACTTCTGTATGCTTGATCTTTGGCTTGTTGTTTATTTGTCTTTTCATTGTTTTAATTGTGTTGACTTATCAATTATTTTATAATGTGAGTATGTTATTTTGTATTTCAAACCGCCATCTTTTGTTCTTTTGATTTTAATTGATTTCAACTGATTTTAATAGTTGTTTAACTTGTGATATGACATTATTTACTATTTTTTATATACTATTGTAATTGCTATATGCGTATATCCTGTTCACTATCTGATGTCCACAGATGCAGATAAATTTATCACCTTTCCCTATCAAATAGCATTGAAAGGTGATAAATTTTACCTGTACTTGTGGACATCGGATTGTGAACGGATAATAAATAAAGATTTTGATGTCTATTTTTGTTAAGGTAATTTTAAACTTTTTGTTATTGTTATCTTTTTTTTTTTTTAATACATACATGTTTTGTTTATTTGGTGCCCTGTTTAGACAGTGACACAATATGATTTATTGGTTTAACACATACCTACCCAAATATATAGATTAAGAATTATTGTACCTACTGTAAAATGGCTTGTCCGTTAATAAAATTCTATTCTATTCTATCCCTCATTTTGGCAAAAGTGCAGAAATTTGCCTATTAAATATATACAGAAGAATGATTGTTTTGATATTTACTTTTATTTTAAGTTTTATTTTGCTGCTTACTTTGTTATTTGTCATTTTAACTTTAGATTTGGAGGTTTTTATTCATAACTTTGACCTGTTTATTCAGTTAATATTTAGATGTTAAGTATGGCTTTGTCAATAACATAAGTTTTACGACAATAAAGCTATTTTTTGATTTGATAGCTTGTTTCAATGCAGCTTTACACATCCAATGTCTTAGCCTTCTCCCCAACATTCCAAAAAGCTTCTTCTACTTTTACAAGAATGTATTGCAGTTTTTTTTTTGTTAACCATTTACATGAAACCTGAAATACACACTCACCAACAAGTTCTGGATAATCCTCAATCCCAGCAATATTCACGTATTTCCTATGAATGGTCTTGGAATCTTCACTGATCTTACTCAAAGCCACTTGTGCCTGTGGCGTAGCCCCTTCAGCAGTCTCACTAGCGGGAACCAGCAAGTGAGACTGATGGGTGGAACCGGCATGAGACCCGCCTCCGCGACAATGCTCGGGCGATTCTGGTTTCCATTCGTTATCAGTTGTTTCTTCACTATCGTCAAACTGCGACTTCCACTGGCTGGCCAATGTTAAGGCACCACCACCTCTTGTAACCTAACAAAAAAAATTTAGTTTAAAAAAAAATGCTAGCAAATTTCTAAATTCCAACCTGTTGGCTAACATTCTCATCATCCATAACAGCAAATTGCGTTACACTCTGATCACGAGCACCCCGCGAGCTTCTAGCAGCACTTGGCTGTCTCCGTCTCGGACGTTCTTGTTCAGGGGTGGCTGGTGACTCGCCCAAACTACCCCCTTGTCCTGGAGAAGGCGTAACGACCCGTAATTTACCCAATGTTGCAGCCCCCGATTGACTTTTCCGTAAGGGAGTTGGGCGTGGAGCTTCCGACGTTGATTTTGCTGAAGCTACTGCAGCTTCGTTATCTAATCGATCAGTGGGTGCTTGATCCAAGTGAGAAGTTGCACGGCGTTTACGTGCAGTTTGATCCGCTGCAGTCGCATTGCAGTTCTTATCAACGCCTTTTTGATTTGTTTGCGTGTCAGTGACTAACGGAGCGGTGTTTTCAGCTTCTATTCTTCTTCGAGCTTCAATTTGAATCTGGAGGAAAATAAAATTGGAACAAAAAGCTTAGATTTTAAGAAATTATTTTTTACCTCTTTGTTGTCTGTAGGTTCAATATTCTCCTGGTTATTATCAGTAGTAGTGAGTAGTTTGGTAGTTTGTCTAGGTAGAGTTGTCGGCGCTGTTGTCGGTGGTTGCGCTTGTGAAACCTGAGTGACAGGTTGCGAGTCTCCAGTTTGTTTCTCCCAGTCAAAAGGATCTGATTCCTTCACTCCTCGTCGTTTCATGCAACGTTCAAATAATGAGATCAACATCTAAAAATTCATCCAATAATAGTCAAGAACTAATTTCATGGAAAATAATTTGATTCAATGTATTAGGGGTTGTTGAATTATTTATCTCAAATAACATTCATAGGGTCTAGTATTAACTTTGACTTAGGTACAAATTCACCCAATGACCCATGGCTTCATTACTGGTTATAACAATATAAAACCTCATGAAATATTATGAATCAAAACATAATCTCAATCTAGTTTTGACAAAAATGTATTTATATTTACACTATATCAGCTTTACAGTACATTTAATAATGCTTTATCACAGCATGCTTTATTTCTACAATTTTGCTATTTGTCAAAATAAAAACAAAACGTTATCAAAAGAGTCAGTAATATAAATCAAAATACACATACACAAATTACTTACAGCATAATCAGGTTTATCAGCATACTCCAAAGTCTGTATATGATCCAAAAATTGTTTAAGATCACTAGGCAAATGTTTCAACAACAGCCGATGGTCGTATTTCTCTTTCATCAATCCTACTTGTTCTTTATCTTTGACTTTACGCCATGGCAATTGGCCGTTGACGAATTCGACTAGCATGTAAAAGAGAGACCATAAATCATCGTGACGACCCATCTCCCGATTTTTGTGTGCATTGATACTGGCATACCGGACTGTACCCCTGAAACCTGCCGCCGCCCTCGGTGCCCTAACTTCACCCGTTGCAGTGGTATATTGACGAGCCAGTCCAAAATCTAACATGTACACTTTCCTACAGTTATATGGCAGTCTACCCATCGAAAAATTACTCTGAAATTTAACAATATTTTTAAAATGTTCAAAAGTTGAATAGTCTATTTCTTACAGGTTTAATATCACGGTGCAAAAATCCAACAGAATGTATACTTTCAATGGCTCTGAGTATTTGTAATCCTAATCTCAAGGTTGTCGAAAGACTGAATGCGGCTCTGGGTTGCGCCCTACGTAGTTCGGCCAGGTTCCGACCCTGTAGTTGCATGACTACGTAATTGAACCGGTCGTTTCTACCACACCCGATAAATCTGGAATAAGAAATTTGCTATAAAGGGCATTGTGTTAACCCACTTTATAAGGATACACTCAAGTCTTATAATCAAAAAATATATTAAAACGAATGAGAAATAGGCTTAGGATAAATTTCAAACGATTTCACTGTATGTCTCTACACCTTTTCCATAAGTATTTCAGAATGTATCACTTGTATTTCAGATTCATCAATTCTAGTTCAGAATGCGTCAATTGTATTTCAGTTGTGTTAGTTCAAATTCAGAAAGTGTTATTTGTATTTCAACTTTGTCAGTTGTAGTTTAGAAAACATCATTTGTGTTTCAGATTCGTCAGGTGTATTTCAGAAAAAGTCATTTGTATTTCAGTTTGGTCACTTGTATTTCAGAAATCGTCATTTGTGTTTCAGATTATTTATTTGTAGATCAGAAATTGTAAATTGTATTTCAGAATTCGTCAAATGTATTTCAGATATTATCAATGTGGTGTATTAAATAAAATTTATAATGAGTCACCTATACACCTATCTTGTGTTGATTTGGGAAAATCTGCGTAGATACCTACTAATTTCCGAACTACATCTGACAATTTCTGAAATACAATTCACGTTTTCTGAACTACAATCAACTAATCTGAAATACAATTGATGCTTTCCGATATAAAATTAACTAATCTGAAATACAATTGACACTTTCTGAAATAAAATAAACTAATCTGAAATACAATTGATTCTTTCCCAGATAAAATTATTTATTCTGAAATACAATTGACGCTTTCCGAAATACAATTTACTAATCTGAATTTCAATTGACGCATTCTGAAATTAAACTGACGATCTCTGAAATACATATGGAAAAGGTGTAGTTAGTTACTCTACTGAAAAAATAACCATATAAAAACCAAAAAAATGTCATTTCATTTATTTCATTGCCATCAACTATAAACTAAATTCTTAATCTGTCCCTTCCGAGACACGCCAAATTAATCTCCCATAAGTTCCAATACAAAATGTATTCCATGTTCATGTTAGAGAGCTATAACTTTGATTGCTTATCTAAATATAGATGACTTGTTACCCCCTGGTAAAATTAATTTGCGTGTAAACAAAGGTTTATAATTTGTTTTTATCTAAACAAGAAATTAGAATTTTTAATTGGTTTTAACCAAAAACAAAACAAATAAGTTATTATTGAGAATCAAACAATACAATTATTCCTTGTGGCCGAGGAATGAAACTCACCTGCAAATATGTTCTTTTCCCTGCAACTTCTTTAAAACAGCCACTTCCATTTTGAGAACTTGTTTCGGCTGTCTAGCACTCTCCACCTTCAGGGCAACTTGTTCTTTGGTGAGCAAATCTTGCCCCTCGTAGATTTCTCCAAAGCCTCCTCCACCGATTTTTTTGACGACCTGTTAAGTAATAAAGTTTTTTATTGGCATCTATTTCTTGCCTGGTTAGATACAATAAATGAGACACGCAGACGTCGTGTCTGACCATAAACAAAGGTTATTATTGGTGTGGATGAACTGCTGAACCCAGACCTCAGCTAAGCGAATTAATGGTTTTTAGCAGGTAATGTCTGTTTTTATGAAACTTAAAGTATGATATTGATTAAAAGGTCCAACTTTGGCATAGCTTATAGATGAAATACCATCATCATCTGCATGAAATATGATCAGAATTGTCTGCAATTGGCATTATAGTTCATCAAGTACTACTATATACCTTGTTTCTTAAAGAGAGAGAGTAGTAAATCAACTTCAACTTTAATATTTCTCAGTTTCCCCCTTTAGAAACTATGTGGTAAAAATTGAATTGACGCGGAAAAGCCGACGACCCTGTGCACAAGGGGTGCGGGAATAGTCAGGAATTCGTTTTCATTGAGTGCTCTGAATAAACAAGCATTTACAAAACTTTTACGAGATTGCTCGGTTGAGTGATTTTGTTATTGGCAAGACAAGTGACAGAGTGAATATTAATATTTTAATTCAAAAGCTATCAGCCTTGGGTATCCATGGTACACTTCTTTCTTGGATAAAAAGTTTTCTTACTAATCGAAAGCAAACTGTCAGAGTGCACAACTGTCTTTCTGACACAATTCATGTTACATCAGGGGTTCCACAGGGAGGGCATTTATCTTCGATCTTCTTTAATTGTTTTCTGAATGATATTTTACAATGTTTTAAAAACTGTGAAGTTCTTTTTTACTGTGATGACCTGAAAATTTTCAGAGAAATATCAAGTTTGAATCACTGCGTATTAGTACAAGATCTAGATAGATTTTATCATTATGTTTTGCAAAATTGTTTAGATTTAAATATTGACAAATGCAAAATAATACGCTTTTATAAAATATCAAAAACATTTCAATTTAACTACAATTTCAATAATATCAATTTAGAAAGTATTAATAAAATAAAGGACCTTCGAGTTATAATGGACATATCATTATCTTTTGGAGATCATATTGAATATGTAAAAAATAAAGCTTTGAAAATGTTAGGTTTTGTTAAGCGCAGTGTTTCGGACTTTACTAATATCTATAGTTTTAAGAATTTGTACTGCTCTCTTATTAGATCTGCTTTGGAATATGCTTCAACGGTTTGGTCTCCTTTCTATGATGTTCATATTAATAGTTTAGAGAAAGTACAAAGAAAATTTTCCAGATTTATAAGCTACAAACTTAGCATTCCTGTGGAGTCAATAGATTACCATGACATTAGTGAACTATTAAATTTACCAAAATTGGGAGATTGAAGAGACTTTCTAGACCTAATTTTTTTATACAAAATCTTAAATGTATTGATAGATTCACCAACTTTATTACAAAAAATATCGTTTACTGTTCCTCAGGTCAACCTAAGACACCATGAACTATTTTTTGTTGAATATCATAGAACAAATTATGGCCAAAATATTCCTACAAATAGACTATGTAGAATTGCTAATGATATTGCAAATGAAATAGATTTTTTCAACTTAAATTTAAGCAGATTCAGATTACAGATTAAGCATAGAGTTCTTTAGATGGATATGTATATTTATATTCATTGTGTATCTATACCTTTGTACTTTTTGAAATGGTTAATCCGTTAATAAACCTTTACTTTACTTTACTTTACAATTATTGGTGTAATGTAGTGAAATAATAGGCAAGATTTGAGAATAATTAGCGAGATAATTTATAGGTTGATTCGAGCTAATTAGTAGGAACATTAAATTAATTTTGAACTGAAGAATAGTGATTTTATTACCGAACTTGACACCGACAAACAAGTCCACCAAGTGATTTTCTTAGAACATTTCATTGTGTTCTATTTGAAAATTTTATTTCATCATCCGCTCTCCTTCTGGTAACTCTCAGCCTTGAATGGAAAAGTAGCAGCAGTACGATTTGCAAATCAAAAATCGTACAAAACTGTGATTGTTTGAAAGAAACAAAACTAGTTTCAGGATCAATCATACTCATAAATAAGAATAACGAAAATGTTAAAAGAAGTATCTACCTACTACTCAGAAAATGAACTTTTGATGGATAATACAATAGACAGTCAATCTTAAACCAAAAAGGAGGAATGAAATAAAGGAGTAGAAGTTATTTACAATCAGTGAGAGATTTTCACGATCAAAATAGAAATGTTCAATATTTAGATACTTGATCATGGTTAGAAAAATTTCCTCTTGTGCAAGCTTTTCTAAACAGGGATAAAAGCTCCTTCAGGAAATGATAAAAGATCAATTATTGTTACATTGTCAGTATTAGTGGATTTCAATCAAATCACAAACACAAATTACCACACAGAGAAGACAGTATAGTTTGGCAAGTGGTAACTTGGTAGAGACGAAAGGGGGAAGAAATCTGGGGCGTAACCTAAAAGTATCCACTGACACCTCAACTGACACCGCCTGATGACAGCCATGTCTTTCGGTTCAGTGGCACCGGAAACACCAAAGAAATAAACCAATAAAATTATTAGAAAAAAATTCTCTAGTTTCGCCAATAACCACGCCACTGCGTGCTGTCGTTCAGACTCTATCCAATAGAATCATGCCTCTGAATAATCACGCCTCTCCACATCCATCATTTCGCAATGTTGCCGGATTTTTTTCTATTTCGAAATACTACACATGCCCATACAGCAAAAAAAATATGTCACCAACTTGTTTATCATTGTTTCCGTCAAGTTTGGCAAAGCAGCAAATTCTTTTGGAGTTCGCCGTTTGGCTAGCCAGACTATAAGTGATTCTGCAGAGTACATAAAGTCCAACAAATACCATTTTAAAGTCACGTGATTTTTCTCCATCCTTGTTGGATACATCTCAAACAGCGGTGATAGTAAAATTGACAAAAAAATTGATGTCTAATGGACCTTTCTCATGCAATGAACAACAAGGATAGTTTATTAAGATTTCTGCAATAAAGAAAGAGACATGTTTAATGACGCGCGATACCTGTGTGGAATGACTTTGATTGGTTCCTCTTGTCAAATTGTTCAATTTCGGTTATGTTTCTGTTTTTATTTATTTTTAAACGTAAATATGACAGATATGTGGAGGAAAAGTTTTGGAAAAGCTTGCGAAAAACGAATTTGCAAGTGCTGACAAACCTTTATAGTACGGGATACGAGGCCTATTTCATCAAATCATTTTACACCGTCTTGCATTGTTATCATCAGTTAGATAACATGGTACTGAAACGCACTTGTGCAGGGAAATAGATAGGAGTGGGGGATTTCGCTGAAAAAAATGTTTCAGAAAATGTCATCATAAACGAGGAAAATATTTAATTATACACCGTCTTGCATTTATTTATTGAGTTAATTTGTACATAAACAAAATTGGATTAACACATGCAAGACATTTTCATGGGGGTTTTGGGGTTGTAATATAAGATGGAAATTGTCAATTTTTGAGAGGGGTGAAATATCATTTTACACCACTCCATTGTTGATTTATATCAAAGCTTGAATGTAGAATAGCCACTGGATACTGATACAAGACGTCCTGTAGAGGGATAACGGGCTGCAAGACGGATGTCAATGTGTTGTCTCATGAGGGAGTGAAAAATTATTTTACACCACTTCATGCTTATGTCCGCCGAAAGAATCTATGTTAAGAAATGGTATTACATCAGTCCAAGACGTTTTTTCTGGGAAAAAAAGTTAAAAAATCCATTTTAATTTTTTCACTGAACTGTTGAGTTATTTACTGAACCGTTCAATGTTTATTCTTTTTTAAATCATACAGATGAAAAAGGACAGTTGACATAGCAGCTCAACAGGGGAGTCTGTTGAATACAGGAATTATAATTTTTGTTTACAATTTCAGACAGATTATTTGTTGTGTCATTTTCACATTTTTTTGCTGCTTTAAAATGAAATTCTTCAAATTTAATGCTTACAATCTGTTATGTGCACAAAACATGTTATGTGTCATGGGATATCCACCTCAAAGAGAACCTAAATGATTAAAAGCCGTCAAAAATAAAACAATTTTCAATCTTTTTTTATTTGATGTCCGTAGAAACATTCATATATACATATTATTAGGAGAATTTCGCAAAATAGAATTATTCTACGTGGTGAAGAGCAAAACTATTTAAAATTAATGTGCATAATTTGTAATTTGAAGTAGTATTCACCTTTGTACCTGATAGATTGACCCTTGTCAAAATTAGTCAACTTCATCATCGTCTTGCAGTCCTTTCTTCCCATTTAGAATGTCTTGTATTTTTAAAAATGTTATCAATGTGTTCTATTTTTCCCATAAGTACCAGTGCAAGACGGTGTAAAATGATTTCTCCCTCCCTCATAAGACAACACATTGACCTCTGTCTTGCAGCCCATTATCCCCTCACAGTACGTCTTGCATCAGTATCCAATGGCTATTCTACATTCAAGCTTTAATCTAAATCAACAATTGAGTGGTGTGAAATGATATTTCACCCCTCTGAAAAATTGACAATTTCTATCTAATATTACAACCCGAAAACCCTCAGGAAAATGTCTTGCATAGGGTATTCTAATTTTGTTTGTGTACAAATTAACTTAATAAGTAAATGCAAGACGGTGTGAAATTGTATATTTTCCTGGATTATGACGACATTTTCTCAAACATTTTTATCAGCTAAATTCCCCACTCCCATATATTTCACTGCGCAAGTGCGTTTCAGCATCATGTTATCTAACTGATGATAACAATGCAAGACGGTGTAAAATGATTTGATGAAATAGGCCTCGTATCCCGTACTATTAATAGTACAATTATTATTGTATTTGATATAGAAATCGTTATTTTACGAACCCTCAAATCTCTGTTCCAACTTAAATCGTCTCCAGTCAGGTTCAGAGCACGTAACCATTATTTTTTTACAATTTGATTGCTTGGGAACTTGTGAAAAAAAAGGTTTGACTTCTTTTTCGCCTTACTCGGACAAGATCTCACACAACACATTTGAAACATTGTATAATAAACAGTTTTTAGATTGTTTGTAATAATTTTCAGCAATATTGATTGAATATTGAGGTTAGCTTAAAAAACGTCAGGGTCAGACCGCGTTCATTAATTGAAAATTTTATCATCTGTCACCCACAAGCTGCGCGCGCAGCACAGGTAAAATGAGAAAGGTCCATTATTGTTCATAATTTTCTTACCTGAAATAGAATCCGTCACTGTCATCAATTAGTTTGTCAAAGTTATTTTCGAAAATGATACAACGAACAAATACAGCTAATAATTTTGACTGTATTAACCTTTTTCCAACTCGAAAAGAAGCAAATAGTAAACGGGTATTCAATTCAAGTTCAGAATGCATTACAACGGACAGCAGATGCGACAAAAATGAGTCTCGCAACAATTGCAAGTATTAAAATTCTCATCTGATTGGTCAATACTACTTCAGAAATGCGTTTGTAAAATGCTAGTGTGAACATATCTTAAAATTCAATAGTAATTAACCACAAGTAGCTTTTTGTAGGTGATATCAACGACATAATCAATGGACATACGTTTTTTGCCACCAATATCACGTGACTTTAAAATGGTATTTGTTGGACTATACATACTTGCAACCAATGTTGGAGCTTATTCCATTAAGCTCAGTTCTTAGACCCTTACTATTTATTACCTACATAAAAACCATATTACTTGAGTATTAATATGTAGTCTAGTGATATCATATGTAGATTCGACTTCAAATAAGTATTTTTCTTCATTTTTTATTGTCACATACATATTATTATCATATTTATCAATCTCTATGTCTGGAGGGTGACGAGAAAAAATCTGAAAATTAGGTAATCCATTTTCAGCTAAATATAGAAACAAAAAAACATCTATAAATGATGACGTAGGTAAATCATAAATAATTGGTTGCTCGAATTTCGATCATTTATCAATTTTGGGAATCTCCACGCCGAAAAAGGACTTTTTGTATCCTGGGGTGACAAAATAACAAGTCTTTTCAATCAATACCACTACACGAGTTAGCACTCTCTGCCGCATTTGTATTAAATTTGCAAAGAATATAGAGTGTCTATAGAATTCAATTGTATACAGTAAAAACAGGACAACATAAAGAAGATCCCAAAAAGAAAAGGGGATATTAATCGTCCTACAGTCTTTTCAAATTTGAATGCAAAAGGGAATTGATATTAGTTTATTTTGATAATGAACGCGTATTAGTAGTGGAATAGAATAACTTATCAAAATCGATACACAAGAATGTCGTAGAAAAAAAATGAAATGCAGGAAAAATACAATACATAACAATTTCATTTACTTTCGGCCCACGGGAGGAAAGTAAACTTCCAACCCATGGGTGGAAAGTAAAAGTCAAAAAATACAATAAATTTTAACAATTTCATTTACTTTCGGCCCACAGGCACCTAGCAACATCTCAGAACAAACAATAAAGTAACAGATAAGTTGGAAATGTATAGTGAGCAAAGCAAATTGAATTTTTGTGAGGCCTCTTAAGTCCTCAGAGCTGATAGTTTAACAATTGACGAAATATCTATGAGAAATAAATAAAAATTACCCTTAATATTTTGTTTAATGATAGAATACAATTTTTGCCAGCTGTATTTCTAATCTCAAAGCAACTGTAGAAGTTGAAAACACTACATTTTATGCATCAAATTGAGAACCACAAAATATCAGCCCCTGTGACAACTGAATGCTAATACTTTAATCTCTTGAAGCTGTTCAGAACAACTCAATAAATATTTTTCCTAATTGAGGTCACCTATATTGTTCCAATCCCCTAAGTCGTAGTTTTTGATCCTTCAAAACCACCAATGTTAAATGAATTAAACTTTTTTTTTCAAATTAAGCATTGAGAATTAAAGAACTGTATAATCCTGGCCTGAATCGAAATAGTATTTGTTTCTCAAACTTTACTTTACCGTTCATTGACTAATCTAGCTAATAAAAGAAAATAAAAGTAAAAAAAAAAAAATTACCTTCCATCGTTCCTTGACAACATGCCCTGGCTGCAACAAATCCTCCGACGTCATAGTTATGTTATTATTTGGATCGGTCGAGTCCAAGTGATTTTCCAAACTCAAATTCTTGTGCCTGAAACAGAGGAAAACCCATGTTTAGTCCCAACAAAAGGGAAAATCGATCATCCATGATGACGATGAAAATTGTTCGTGTTTCTGTGGGATCGAATTCCAATATTAGGCCACCAGCCCTACACTTTTGCCCCTTTTCGTGAGGGTGCATTGTGGCTAGCCTAAAAATCGAAGGGAGAAAATGAATCCAGCTGATCAAGGGCGGCGCTTGCGTAATTTTTGGAAAATTGTATCAGCAAAGTTGCCAGATGTTGGAAAATTACTTAGCTTCTTAGTTTAAAAATTCAGAAAAAATCAATGTTAGCTATTGATGGCAAGGATTTACAATGGGCTCTTTCACTAATTTTTGAAATTGGCATATTTGGATAAAGCAACTAAAAACAGAATTTTCTGTATTTTTACTTTTGAAAAATTCAAAGTCCTTCTTGAGAAAACAGAAAACAAAGAAATACCTCCAAATAAAAACCCAGAATTTATTTCTATGACGTCGCAGCTCGCAATTTGACCGTGTTGCCACTAATTGTCAACATTGAAAATTTGTAATAGATTTAATTCTGAAATGTTGGCAAAATCTCATGAAAAGTAGTTAAATTAATTAGTTATAGATTCAAGATTTTATAACATTTTTTTTTTTAAATTATGCTTAAATACAATTTAATGCAATTTTTTATGTTTAGTTTTATTTATTTATTTTACGCTGCACTACATTTAGTCACAACCGACAACAGCGCATTCGAACCTTTACGTATCTTTACAGAGCGCAAACACAGCCGAGCCCTTCCTCCTTGCAACGACATAAGCGAAATGAAGAATATTTATGTGACGTCGGCAAATCGGCGCGTTTTAAAATAGTTTGAATTTAGGCACTTTTGATTGCCTATGAAAAACTTATTGAACCTTGTAGAACATTTTTTTTTTGGTATATATGCCTAAAATAGTCCCTCCTTTGAGATTTTATACTTAAATTACGTATTTAAATTTTAGTGAAAGAGCCCATTACAAATTTGCCAATTCCTAAACATTACCAAATGATACCTACCTATGTCCATATTATTTCTCTGTAAAAGTGTATTTCTTTAAAGCAGGTATGCCTTAGTTATTGTTTTCAGTGTGTTTTTATATTCTTAAGTAGGGCCTAGTGAATTGAGGCAGAACGTACAACGGCTTAGCAATAGGTGTTTGAAGTCAAGCGCTGATTGGCTATTACTAATAGGGTGTCCTTTGCAGGTAGAAGAAAGGTGTAAATACAAAAAATGTCGAGTTTTAGCTGAACTTTCGGAATGTGTCATCAGAAACAAAAATTGGAAGTCGAAAATGTGAAATTTTGCATACTATCAACTGATTTTATGGAATGGCCTATATTTGATTCTATATTCTTGAAGAGAGTACATTTTTCCTATTACCAAAATATATGGCCTCCCCATGTTTGGTTGAGGAGTCTCGTATATATTTGGCTCTAAAAATTGTAAAAATACCATCCTGACTTAGATTTTGTGAACCACCACCTTTAAAGGTTAAACCTGCAACTAAAATTTGAGGTAGTAGTTTTTTTTTATAGTATTTTTACAATTTTTACAGCCAAATATATCGGAGACGGCTCCACCAAATATAGGCAAACTATATATTTTTACCTAGATTTTTACTACATATTTTTGGATTCGGGAAATTATGCTCTTCAAGAATATGGGACCAAATATAGGCAATTCCATTAAAAAAAAAATTTAAAGTATGCAAAATCTCACATTTTTAACATTCAATTTCTGTTTCTGACAACAGCTTCCAAAACTTCAGTTAAAACTCAACATTTTACGTATTTACACCTTTCTTCTACCTGTAGAGCGGGCTGTAGAGGTAAAGGCTCTAGGTGGGTGTTAAAATATGAAGAAATACCTCGAGAAACACCTTGTACTAGCATGTAAGATTCCAGTGGAATTCCGTGTGATTCTGTAGGATTCCCTGGAATTCCAGTGGGATTCCGAGAAATCGATGAGTCAATAATGTTTTTAGTTTTTACCTATGTAGTGGCGGCTAAACTGAAAAACAAGACTTTTTTGTCCAGTCTTTGCTTGCTAGCGTTCAAAATAATTCTAAAAATTCACAACAAGAAATTCCACGGAATTCTTTGAGGAATTCTGGTAGGATTGTGAAGGATTTCAGTAAGATTTCTTGGGATTCTGTGGATTCCAGTGGAATTCCGCGGAAATTGATGTTTTTAGTTTGTACCTATGTAGTGGCGGCTAAACTGAAAAACAAGACTTTTTTATCTTTGCTTGATAGCATTCAAAATTATTCTGAAAATTCACAAGAAATTCCATGGAGTTCCTCGAGGAATCTCATAGGATTTCGTGGAATTACAGTGGGATATCGTCAGATTCCAGTAGGATTGTATGGGATTTCAGTAGGATTCTGTGGGATTCCAGTAGGATATTGTGGCATTCCAGTAGGATTTCGTGGAATTCTGTTAAAAGTGGGATTCTGATGTCCACATTTTTCCAGGGAGTTTATTCTCGAAACTGAGGAACAGCGTTCTCATGAAAACGATTGCTCTGTCATTGTCAGTGTTATGGAAATATGAATTCGGACGACGAAGACAGAACCTTCGTTCTAATGAGAACGCTGCTCTCCTGTTTCGAGAATAAAGTCCCAGGTGGTTCACTTGAGGGTTTACCCCTCGGATTCAGGCATATATAAAACCATCATTATTTACTACAAGTGAGCGATGAATGAGAGGTATCAAGCAAATTGAATTAATAATAATCAAGAAAATGCAGACTTACCCAAATTAACCCAAAATAACCCGTCCGCCTAGAGCTGTTTATAAAAAACGAAGTGCGCTTGAAGGACACTATGAACTTAATGAAATTTTAACTAGATCGCACTAGGCGGACGGGTTAGCTTGGGTCTCGAGGTAAGTCTGCATTTTCTTAATTATTATCAGGAAGTGAAACCAACAATAATGAACAGTCTCCAGTATCTTTTTTTACTATCAGTAACCCCATGCTCATATTTATTAGGCATAAGTAACACACAGCTGATTAGAAAATGCTTATGCGCACTGTGTAACTCCCAATAACAAAATTCAGACGATTAGCAACGTTGGTACAAAAGGTACACCATATTAGCAATGGCCAATTAGCGCTAGACTTGGAAGGCTTATTGCTAATCGGTTATACGTTTTGCCAATGGCGCAGGTACGTATTTATAGGGTACACCATATTAGCAATAATATCCAATCAGCACTTGACTTCAAACGCCTGTTGCTAAGCCGTTGTACGTTCTGCCTGAATGCGGCCGGGATTACCTAACTCCTCAATTCTCAATTATTCCTAACTGCTGTTTCTTAATGTATATTTCATATTTCTTAAAATGCTTGGTTTCTTCAACTTTCCTAGAATATTTAATGTTAAGCATTGCGATCCAATTGTTAAAGTTGACAACCATCACCCACCTCTCATCTTTTGTCTTGACCTTTTTTAAGAACAAGTCAAGTACAGTCAGTCCATAGGCAAACTCCTTTTATCATCACTTTAAATCAGCTGACTATAACCTTATAAATGACTTTCTCAGCTCCTTTCATTGGGACCTCAATGATTGGGACACAATACTTTCTAACCTAACAGTAGTAGATATGGTCTAAACATTTTACGAAATCCTAAATCATGCAATAGGCCTATTGCCAGGATCTTATTAGTCTCACATTCCAGAAAAAGATCGCTCATAAACATTACAAATCTACCCCCTCGCCCCCCATAACTACAATTTTTTTCCAATCTAAGTTCTCACTGTAAACAGCTATCTAAACGATGTTACCAAAATTCTATTTGAGAAACAGTCGAATCTCAATTACAACCCTAAACAATTTTGAAGTTTTATTAATTCCAAGAGAAATTCTTCAGATATATGTAACATCAAATCTTTACTTGGATAATGTAAAATACGAGACGGGGGTCAATGCTGCTAATCTGTTTGCAGCTCTGTTTACTCTCAAGAGCAACCACAACATGAGGAAAAACCCTCCTTAAACAACTTAAATGTATCTGAGTTCTCAATCTGTATTTCTGAAATATACACAGAACTGACTAACTTGAACATCTATAAAGGACCAGGCCCTGATAAAATTCATCTCATTTTGCTTAAAAAATGCTCTTTCATCCTCTCAAAACCCCTGCATATCATATTTAATAGCTCACTCAAATCTGGCCACTTTCCAGAATACTGGAAGTTGTGTAGTACCCATCCAGAAATCCGGGGACACTACTAATATAAAAAACTACAGACCTATTAACATTTTGAGTACAATACCTAAACGTTTTGAAAAACTTGTATCATATTTGACAGCTGTTTTATCTCCTTCAATTAGGCAATCCAACGACCTGTCCGAATGGCGTCTGGTTGGCAAACAATAAACAAAAAACATATGTTTTTATTTTGACGGGATTAAGCCTAGTACTCATAACCGCGAAATTCGTTTTTTTTTTGACGTTTGATTCACATATAAAACGTCAAATTGTCGAAGCAATGTCAAAAAACAGCGAATTTCGCTGTTATGAGTACTAGGCTTTATCAATACTAACATCGTTGACATTGTAACAACCCGAATTCTAACCTCATAAAAATTTCAAAATGCCGGCTAGTTGGCAAAAGTCACGTGGTTTGGATTCCCTAATTATTATTGTACAGTTTGGCTTTTGTGCAGGTCGCAATGCTGAACTGAACCTCCTATCTCACACGCCAACTATCTCAAAGGCCCTGGAAGATAATTTTGAAGTTCATTCAATATATATAGACTTTTCCAAGGCCTTTCACAAGGTACCACACGTCTTGATTGACAAACTTAAATTTTGGGGAATCTCTGAACCCATGCTCAGGTGGACCGAGGGCGACATAACTGGACGTAACCAGATTATCAAAGTGAATAACTTTATGTCGGATAAAATACATGTTTCTTCAGGGGTCACACCTTGCCCCACTTATCTTCAACTGCTTTGTTAATGACGCTGC